AATGCACAAATTTAGATATGCACTAGATTTGTGCCGCTATCGAGATCTGTGGCAGAAGTTACTGTATTAATGTATAAGTTATCTTGTAGGAGGTTTGTTGAGACCTGTAGGTTACCTGTACACGTAGGTTACCTGTACATGTAGGTTACCTGTACATGTAGGTTACTTGTACACGTAGGTTACCCGTACATGTAGGTTACCTGTACATGTAGGTTACCTGTACCTGTAGCTTACCAGTAGTCCTTTCCGTGAGTCACCGCCCCCGCGGCCCAGTCCCAGATTAGGACTCCTGGTTGCTAGTCTGATCGATCAGGCTGTTGGTGCTCGCCGCCCACAGTCCAGTATATATGCACCTTTATGCTGGCAATCTTCACCTAAACAATTCAATTACTGCGATGCTCTAAATATCCCGTTTCAGTAGGTCTAAAGTCTATAAAACTAAAACGTTCAATTACATAAAGAAAAGAAGTGAATTTTTGCTATTTTACACAGACTTTATAGCTTTATATTGTCGTATATTAGTTTAATGTTGGTAGTTTCAAAATTATACTTGCTGGTAAGTTAGTGTATATAGGTGTATAAAAGTCACAGTATCATAGCTAAAATTTTTGCAGTTAACTGGAAATAGTTAACACTAAAAGACGTCTCGGTCTGTCTTAGTCCATTATCAAGTAGCGAATGAAATATAAAAGGGAGAAAGAAGTTAGATTAGGGCAGAGGGAAATTGAGGAAGCAGGGGAGGTTAGGTGAGGTTTGCGTGCTCCGAAGATTCAGGTTTTTGACAAGGTTAGGTAAGGTTTGTCAGGAAACAAGGTAAGTGTTTCCTGTCGCTGGTGCTTTTGGTCATCTGGCCGAGGCCTTCCGTTGGCTTACTGGTTCACCCCATTATAAATTATAGTTAGGACTCGTTATTCCTAGCTCTTACCATATTTTTTTGACAATGTAACTGGAAATAAAAACATTTACTACTATTTATTGCAGGTATTTAATCTATTCCCTGCTCCTGATGGTCTTCAGTACACCAGTGAGACTGGCATCTTCCTTACCGACAGACGTAAAGAACATAATGCTGTCCTGTCATCCAAGAAGGCACTGGACAGGCACCTAAAGTCAGTACCTGACCAGCCGGGCTGTGGTTCGTACGTCAGGTTGCATGCGGCCAACAGTAACAGCCTGGCTGATCAGGCCCTGATCCACCATGAGGCCTGGTCACAGACCGGGCAACGGAGGCGTTGACCCCCAGAACCTCTCCATGTATACTCCAGGTATAACCACGCCATCAACTGGTTCGCTGTCAAAATTATCTCCTCTTCTAACCTTAACAGAAGCCGTTTTGTTGAATGGTTCTACATATGCAACAATTCTGACATGAATCTTAACTTCAGCTTTGCCTCTGTAAAAACCTACCTCCGCTAATATCATAGGTCTAATCCTCAGAACACTCGTGACTTGACTTAACCTTGCCTGTCTCCTCACCTCCCTCTACTCTGACCACACTTCTTGCTTTCTCATTTGTTTTATCTCATAATGCCCCAGAACTGACCTAAGCGTCGTCAATATTTTCAGTTTTAAGTTTTGGATTTGTGTATAGGCTGTGTCGGTATGTTAATGCCTCTTGGGGGGCCTGCTGTTAAAATCACACGAATGAGCATCACTTTCGAGCGTTGGTGGTGTAGGGGCTTTCGTGATCCCAGTACACGAGGACGGGTTGGGTTTTACAAATTACTTTTGATGATAATTTGCGTACATCTAGACTCTAGAGGCATAGAGAATAATTTTCAGGATTTCATTCAGCATTAATTTGCTTATTTAATGCAACACTGAAAACGTAGATTGTAAATAAAGTTTGGAATAAAAATAAATATCTAGTAATATGATAATAACGAATTATTTAGAATATTCATTATCAGAATCAATGCTCTAATAAAGAATCACTTTTAGCAGTGTTGTTACTTCACGCATAATATATGTATCATGTATAACCTCTATATTAGTAATCAAAAAGTTACCGAATGGATTACAAGACTTATAATGCACCTGAATTTTATCCAAATTATGCATTTTCTAATTTCCAGTCACATGGTGGAATGCATGGAGATATCCTCGTCCCTACTGAAGTCTCCCACCTCAGACTGATGGACTTCATACCTTGTATATGACAACCATTGTGTGCAATAAACCATGGCAGAGAACCTTATAAAATGTTATGTAAATCAGGGTACCTAGAGACCTGAAGTTTACCTGGAGAGGGTTTCTGGGGTCATCGCCCCCGCGGCTCGGTCTGAGACCAGGCCTCATGGTGGATCAGGGTGTGATCAACCAGGCTGTTACTGCTGGCCGCACGTAAACTGACGGAATATCTAGTTTCGATGTAAAAACTTATTTTTGTTAAATTTACAGAACTTTTGCATACTATTTTATATATGTGTTTGCTCAAGGTTGTTTAGGCCTAAAGCGATCATGTATGCCTATTCAGTGATTTGAAGAATAGTCAGTATAAATTAGTGTAAGAATAAAGTTAAAAAATATTTAAAGAATGACTCTATGGAAAGGGAGGATAGTGATTTCTTACATTGTTAAAGTATTTTTTAAATGATTTTTGGATACGATAGGATCTTTTTGTGTTGACTGATTTTTATTAATATCACTAAAGGTAGAGAATAAGACTGCGTCAGTGAATGTCTGTAAAAAAAATAATAGAAAAAAATGCAAAAACCACATACATACAAACATTTATTAGGAAATATTTCGATGCTGAAGTCTTGTTCGTTCCTATGATACAGCGAGTGCAAAAAAAGAAGAAAAAAAAAAACATTAGGCCAAGGTGTATGTGAGTAGTGAGTCTAAATTGCTTACACATGGCAGGTACTAAAAAAAAGACCATATAACTGTACAACAAGGTCGCCAGGACCCCAGTGGAAATACGTCATAATGTTTGACATTATAGGGCTAGTCTAGGTTAAATTCTACACAACTTACCATATAAATCCACTGTGAAAATAATTCAAATTGCGCATTCAGCCTGAACAAAAACTTACAGTGGTGTTGAATTATGAAAAGTTAACTTATGATGTCAAATAGTGTAATTTGTTTCTACACAGACTGGCACAACGACCAGTTCTCCCAGCATGTTTCCTCGTCCCACACACCAGAACTTCTCTCCTGGATGTGTTATGCAGTACTCAATATTTTTTTGTCACACTTATAAGGGAATTAAAACTATGTCGCCAATAGAAATAAGTCACTTATCTGATTTTTATTTGGGTTATCCAATGTAATTTACAATATATATAATAATTGTACTTTTGTAAACCTGTGCCTAAATAAACTTACTTAACACCAAGAGGAAATTAAAAAGTATAATTAAAGTAAGTGATTATTGCCAGGGCCAGTGCTCATACATTCAACGCAAATACCTCTTGAATGTTAATAACATCAGACAAAGAAACAGTAATAAAGATATGCGTGGAAGGACCGTAAGGAAGGCTTTCTGATGCCTCTGCTGTCCTTGTGTTAGGTCTTCCTAGTCTGGTACAACTTCCTGGTACCTTGTACCTTCCTCATTATCTACCTCTTACCCCCGCCAGCCTCATCTCATCCTTATGTAGTGAGTTATATGCACTATTCCATGTCTCGTGTGTTCCGAGATATATATATATACTAATGTGATTTACGGATATGGTAAAAGTAACAGGAAAGGATAGCTCTCTAGTCTTCACTAGTTTACCTTAGTTAACGAATGAAAACGTCTATAATTTCTCAGTAGCAGAAAACGAGCCACAAAATATAAATGTGGGAACTCAAAAAGGTAAACTTTATTTTGGTAAATTTTGCAGATGATCATTCAGACTGGTGTTGTAAGGTTCCACAAGGGTTGCATGAAATATATTATTGTTACAGGAGTACAGTGCTAATAATATGGAATCAGTTCTAAAGATTAAAGTCAGCTGAGAGCAGTGTTGAAAGTTACTGGATTATCCCAGGTTAAATCTAATGGACATATGTTATGAACATTTAGCCGAGAAAAATCCAGTAAAATCAAATAGTAAGTAGATTATTATTATTATTATTATTATTATTATTATTATTATTATTATTATTATTATTATTATATCATTGGGAAAACGCTAAACCCGTAGGATTATACAGCGCTTGTGGGGGGGGGGGGGTTGTGGAAAATATTCAGGCTTAATTTAGGGAACTGGAGCACAGATTCAATTCCCTAGATCAAGAGCCCCTCACCAGCGTCAAGGAATCTTCCTTGAGGGGAAAATCAAATACAAAGATTTATTTCATGTCATGTGGGAATATAAAGTTGGATTATCTGCTGATGAATGCTACGCAGTGCTAGATGAATCAGCAATCTTTACACGAACACACGTGAAGATTGTCGATCAAAAACCTTTTATGCCAGGCTTCGTCGACTGTGGACATCTCGCTCTCTCTTGAGCTTCAGTGACAAATTTCTCTCATTCTCTCTGGAACACTTGTCCCCATATTACCTTGCCCGCTGGTCACGTTACAGGCGAGGCACCTTTCATCGGCTCATTTAAGCCAGTTCCATTTTATTCCGCTTTGCGGATATTTATCTAACAGTTTACCTGAAATCGGTTGGTGAAATCAGGTGAGGGTGTAGGTGTCTCGCTCTGCTGGGGCTTTGAGAGGGGAAGGTGTCCACCCGACCTTTGGGAACTTCTAGTTTTTATTTCTATTTACAAAGGTACTCCTGTTCCATATTCTTTTATCGTCCAGCTGTGGGAAATATCTCTTCTTTGTCCATAGGGAAATTACAAGACAAGGGCTCGAAACGGCGTAAGCTGTCATCGTCCCTTACAAACCCAAGAAGAGGAATCTAAGTTTGTTAGAACTTCTAAGCTTAGGCCTAATACATAGGTTTAAACTTTTACAATAGTTTTATATAATGTATTATTTTCGTCCACTTATTCGCATCGTACAGATTTGGACATTTTTTCTTCCCTGGAGAGCAGGTGGGTCTTGACGGCGTCAGGTGTCAATAGTCCTATAAACCCCCAACAAGGCGTCCACATTGTCATCCAGGTTTGGGAAAGGTTTGAATTTAACCTTTAAAAGCTCGTCAGCAACAATATTTCAGCCTCGAACATTGGAAAGTAGGACTCAACAAGATCTTCATTGTGGTGACCTTAACTATACCACTATTAATTCTTCATATATGACTGTTGGACTTGGACGAACTTATTGGTAAGATAATATCTGTATTTGCGGTATTAAACCTGATTTTTTTTTATATTCCAAAAAAGGCCTATACTTTTGAGAGCTATTCACTTCTTCATGGCGTGGATGGAGATGACAAAAAGACGTACAATATTTTATTCTGATTATTCCCTTAAGGAAGGGAACAAATTATCATACATAGTAACATTTAAATTACCCAAGATAATCCAAAAAAGTCAGACAAAGTAACTTAATATGTAGAACTGACACTAGTTTGCATTGTTTGACTATTAAAGGGCTATCATATACTATCTTCATGGCTTGATGAGTAGCTGCCTCAGCTCGCACACCAAGGGGGACCAGGTTTCACCTCTCGGCATGAGTAGATATGTTGGGCATTTTTCCTTACACCTTCTGCCCCTGTTCACGTAGAAGTAAGTAGGTACCTGGTGTTAGCCAACTGGTGTGGGTTGCATCCTAGGGAAGGAGGATTAAAGGAATCCCCCCCTATGAAAATAAGACAGACAGTTTTCAATGACAACCAGAGTTTATTTATGAATAAAAACTTTTTATGTTCTCATGACATCCATGTACTCTCAACATTATTGTAATTTTAGTATTTTATGTATGCATACCCTAGATAAAAATTTGCATGCCATGCATGAGTTTGGTCTGACCAATATACAGGTATGAAAACACTAATTCCTACACTGCAGAGATGAGGGAAGGATGGCCAGAAGTCTAATTGCAGAAAGGTACGTATAAGCCAAATACAGCCTCTCTTCACTTAGCCATGTACTCGTTTACCGACGCCTCAGATTTACGATGGGTGCTTTCATCAGTATTCCTACCTAAATAATGTACGTATATTAGAGCTGATTTCCTCTATTCTGTTTATTTTAATATACAGTGCACTACTGTATAAACATTTGAAAAATATACCAGAAATGTTATAAATGGTGCAGAGGTGACATTAAAACAACATCAAAGATGGTTGACACAAACTCACTATCATTATAGTATGCTCTTCACTTAGCGACGAATTTGTTTAACGACGTGGTCTTAGGAACGGAACTCCGTCATTAAGTGAGGAGACACTTTAAATAAAAACAGGTAAATGTTGAGGATATTGGACCAGCATCCAGGTGCCCAAATGTAAAAACTATTGAGCTGGCAGCTTTTCGAGGAGCACAGCATTGCCATGTGTGTTACAGCTATTTATTTTCAGTTTGCTTATTTCTGGTTAAACTTAAGTTTTTACTGGTGTATGTAAACTATCCCAACCCTACCTAATCAACCAATAAACTGGTTACTACCTGACTGCCTTGTTAGTAGCCCTTAACACAGTTTGCTATATGCCTGCTGGTTGCCTGAACATAAAAAGCTAGTGAGCCTGTGGCCAATGACACCTGTTGAACTGGCAGCCATTTGAGGAGCACTTGCAAGTATCTATTGACCTTGACCAGGCAGATGTGTTATGAGTTGCAGGAGTTAGTCCCAATTCTATAATTCTTATCCTGCATATATGTATGGTAATAGAATTATATCATATTGAATTTTTAAAGATATAACGAGTCGTAGGGCGCAGATGTATCAGCTTGTTGTAAGAACATGTCATCAATAGTGCTAATAGTCTTTAGCAAAACATTTCACCTACCCCCCAACTACACTGGACTGCATTGACTTTGCTCACTTGTCAACAGTGGGCATCCTCTATTTCTTAAGTTTATTTTCTTATTGCTAATACAGCACCAAAGTGGCCATTAAAGTACAGTAGTAGCTGGGGCTCTTATCACACCACTTGAAATAACCTAACCTAAGTGCATGATCCTGATATCTATCTATATTATGTAATTATTTTTCTTGAGCCTTTTGGATTTAGTTTTTTATCTGAATAAAAATAAAAATGATAATACATAATACAGCCTTGCCTCACTTAGCAACGTACTTGTTTACCGACAACTCAGACTTATGATGGGCTCTCTGACCAGTATGCATACCTAAATAATGTATGTTAGAGCTCATTTCCTCTATTCTGTTTATTACAATATACGTACAGTACACTACTATATAAACATTTAAAAATATACTAAAAATGTTATAAATGGTGCAAAGGTGACATTAAAACAATATCAAAGATGGCTGACACAAACCCACTACCATTATGTAGTATGCTTCTTGCTTAGCGATGAATTCGTTTACCGACATGGTCTTAGGAACGGAACTCTGTCGTTAAATGGGGAGAGACTGTATGTATTTATTTATTTATTTTATTTTTTAAACAAATAATTGATATTGTAAGCATATTTTTTTATGATTTTTCAGATTTGTGTGCCAGGAATGGAGAGCACTGAATCAAATGACACTATAGAATTAAATCAAGAAACAGAGACAGCTGGTAAATCAGTTCAGGGCAGTGAAAAGTACCAGAATGAAGACAAGAAAGAAGTGATCATAGACTCATCTGACTTACTAAGTAATGGGACAGAATCTCAGACATTGTCTAAAAGACAAAAGAAAAAGTTTCAGAAACGTCAAAAATGGCTCGATACTAGACAGGAACGAAAAAAGAAAGAAAAAGAGAAACTGCGTCAACGCCTGGAGGCTAAACGTGCAGCTGGTGAGCCCTGTGGCAACATAAGGAAAAAACTTAAAGAAGTGACTATGGCTGCTAGTAATTGTAAACAACGAATTGTTATTGACATGTCGTTTGACAACCTCATGATAGAAAAGCACTTGTGCCAGTGTGTAAAGCAAATTAGTCGATGTTATAGTGCTAATAGAAGAGTGTCAGACCCAATGCAGCTCTATGTGACCAGCTTTGAAGGGAAATGTGAAACCATCATGGCCAAACAAAATGGTTATCAAAACTGGGATGTATTTTTCAAACATGAATATTACATGGATATTTTCCCAAAGGAAGATATTGTTTATCTTACAAGTGAATCTGAAAATGTAATCACATCTCTGGATGATTCAAAAGTCTATGTTATTGGAGGTCTAGTTGATCACAATGTTTACAAGGGTCTTTGCCATAAATTGGCTGTTGAGAAAGGCATCAAGCATGCTAAGCTTCCAATAGATGATTTCATTGAGATGAAGACTCGTAAAGTATTAACTGTTGATCATGTATATCAAATCTTACTTGGGGTTGCCACAGGAAAGTCGTGGAAAGACTCTTTCCTCTCTGTGATACCTGCCAGGAAAGGTGCTACAAGTAAAGGTGATGTCACCAAAGCCCATTTAAATGATATTGATAGTGATGAAGAAAAAGATGTTAAACTTTCAGTAAACCATGAATGCAAGGCTACAAACTCAATGGAAGCTGTAGATATGATCAATAAAAATGGAAATAGTTGAAAAATATAATTAGTATTTTTCTAGTCTAAATACTAAAGTTATGTGCATTAAACTGCAGATTAATGGAAAAAAATGTTTCACATTTGAGCCATACTCCAATCCTGGATAATTTGTGCATTATTTTCATAACTGTGTAATGATAATTAGTGTTTTAATTTCATTATACCATTATGGGGTGCCAAATATACTCTTATTTATGAGTGAATATACATTATCTACAACAAATTACGCCTGCAAGTGCTACCAGAAATCAATAAATCATAACCAATTAACTGAAAGAGGGAACTCGAGGAAAATTTTGTTTGTGAAGCCTGTGGTAGATTTTGCTTATTATTAAATGCTAAATGACCCATGTGGGTCGCATACTATTTTTTAATTATTTCCACTTGCCCGGGTGGGAAATGGACTATGTGTTAAAAAAAAAAAATTATCAGGAATGGCTTGCTGTATAATCTTTACAGGTTTAGCAACTGGTTATGATTATAATAATAATAATCACGTTGAGGGGGATCACACAGCACCTGCAGAATGGAAAATTATGTTTGATCAAAAAAAAAAAAAAAATGGCAGGGGCTCCAATTCCTTGAATTAATCAGCATTAATTCTACCCCAGTTTTTTTTTTTAATGCAAGTGATAATTTGTTCCTTACTTTCCATTTCAATATTCAAACAGCGTACAGTTCGTATTCTTGTTTTCATATTTATAGTGTATATATTAGTTAACCATAGTTCAAATTCAGTAAGCAGGAGTGAATTATAAGTATAGTTGAACATTTATTACTGAAACTGTATTGGCATACAGTAATACTACTGGTGATATGACGAGACATGTAAAAAAAAGTGAATAATTATCTGATGACTGTTTATTCTATTCTTAGTTTACACATATTTTAATTTATATTAGAAATAAATTATTGTATTATATGTTCGAAGTGTCGTTTGAATTGTGATGCCAGCACACTTCTGACAAGACAGCTACTTAATGAATGATGGTGAATATGTTTTCTTTCCTTTCTTGGTAAGACAGTCAGTGTGGTGAAAATATCTTAAAATATCTTTCTCAGTAATGTTTTTCAATTCTTAATATATTTATAATTCATATTTTTTTTCAGTACAGAATAAATTTTTTAATCACATCAACCATGTCCTGCCAAGACAAAGTGATGGAAAAAATGAAACACATCACTCACTCAATTGTTCTCACTAGAAATGCATGGACCTCAATTTACATGACCCTCAGAACCACAACATCCTCAACCATTCTTGGCATTGCTGAATAACCCATATGGAAACAGCACTTTTGTGAGAATACAATAGCAAGCACACTTGAAATGAGTATTTAATTAGAAATTGCCTTAGTTGCAAGTTTATTGGACAGGGTCACTCATCTTGCGAGTAAACCTACTGCCAAATAGACAGTCACTTCATTCGTGCTAATCCTGCATATTTTTGTGAAAATGATATGAACCTTAAGAAGTACGTATGCGCTTTAATGTTAGTAGTATAAATTCCATATTCCTGTACTTTGCTACATTTAAAGATATGGTGCTAGTATTTATCCTGTGCACCAACTTCCAACTTTATTGAAGTTGAAAGATATTGTGACACACTTATGTAGATAAACTGAATGACTTGGCCAACAATCTCTACTCATCTTTTTTTCCAGCTTTCTTCTGCATAGACCCCTCAAAGGAGGTTCCTTGATTCTGCGGAGTTATTTTAACATCATGTAGAGAGTGCTAAACTTATAAGGGCCATACATCACCTGGGGGTATAGGAGGCAGTTAGGTTCAATCCAGGGAATGGAAGTTCAGGTTCAGTTCCTTGGAATGATATTCCCTCAGGAAACAAAGGTTCAGAATTATATTTTTGCATTAGCCAGTTCGATTGAGGGGGAAACTGATGACTTGTCTAGGACTTTAAACTGATAGATTATAGAGGTATGGGTGTTTGTGGGAAACAATCAGGCTGCAGTATTATTGTTGGAAACAGCAGAAATTACCAGGATACCTCAGGGATATGTCTAAAAGACAATATTCAAAATAAAGTTCCTAATAAAGGTAAAGCAACTGATCATCAAAGAGAGATAGTAGAGGGCAACGAGTGACTAGCTCCCTTAAGGTTTACTATACAAATAGTAGAAGTCTAAGAAATAAGATAGATGAGCTAAGACTGCTCGCAAGGGCAGGTAATATAGATATTATTGCTATAACCGAGACCTAGTTCAGCTTGAAGGATAGTGAAATGCCTTCTGAATGCAGCATAAAGGGTTATAAACTATTCCACACTGATAGGGTCAACAGGAAGGGTGGTGGAGTGGCGATGTATGTCAGAGATAATTTAAATTGTTGTGTTAGACATGATATAAGAATAGAAACATCGGACAGAATCTGTTTGGCTACAGTTTCTCGAGGGGGTATGAAAAATTAATTTTGGGTGTGATATATAGGCCCCAAACCTTGATAGAGAGTGCAGTAAGCTGCTATGGGACGAAATTCATAAGGCGTCTAGATATGAAAATGTTGTGTTAATGGAGGATTTTAACTTTAGACAAATTGATTGGAACAATTTGACAGGAAATCTTGAGTCTAGTGACTTTCTTGATACAGTTCAGGATTGCTTTTTAAAACAGTTTGTGACAGAACCAACTAGAGGAAACAGTCTGCTTGACTTGGTTCTTGCCAACAAAGATTCACTAATTAATAATCTTGAGGTTAATGATGAGCTTGGGGAAAGTGATTACAAATCACTTAGTTTCAATATACAGTGGACCCCCGGTTAACGATATTTTTTCATTCCAGAAGTATGTTCAGGTGCCAGTACTGACCAAATTTGTTCCCATAAGGAATATTGTGAAGTAGATCAGTCCATTTCAGACCCCCAAACACGTACAAACGCACTTACATAAATACACTTACATAATTGGTCGCATTAGGAGGTGATCGTTAAGCGGGGGTCCACTGTATTATGGAATTACCCAGTAAACCGCAATCAAGTCTCTGTCCCAGACTTCCGATTGGCTGATTTCATGGGAATGAAAAATTACCTGGGTGGGCTAAATTGGGATGATCTGACTATGGGTCAGGTAGCGGGTGTTGGTTGCCAATATGATATTTTTCAGAGCATAGTTCTCGCTGCTCAGTCAACTTTTGTTCCGAGTAGGGAAGTTAGATCTAACAAAAATGATCCCAAATAGATGAACAATAGATTAAAACATCTCATTAATCAAAAGAAAGGCATTTTTAGGCATGTCAAAAGGGGATGGGCAGTTAAGAAATCAATATATTCAATTAAAGAGAGAAATAAAAAAAAGGAATAAGAAAAGCAAAAAGAGATTATGAAGCTAAGGTTGCAAGGGATTCGAAGACTGTCCCAAAAGGGTTCTTTCAGGTATACAGAAGTAAGATTAGAGACAAGATAGGCCCACTTACGAGTAGATCAGGTCAGATCACTGATAGTGATAGGGATATGTGTGAAATTTTCAATTCTTACTTCCTCTCAGTTTTTACTCAGGAAGATTCTAGCGAAATTCCAGAAATAAGTTATGTAGAACAGGACGATAATAAACTATGCACGATTGCAGTAACTAGTGACATGGTCCTCAGACAAATAGAGAAATTAAAACCTAACAAATCCCCAGGCCCTGATGAACTGTTTGCAGGGTTTTAAAGGAACGTAAAGAGGAACTTTGCAAACCTTTGGCTAATCTTTTCGACATATCACTACAAACTGGCATAGTGCCTGTTAAGTGGAAAATGGCAAATGTAATACCTATTTACATGGCAGGTCCTTAGCTTCGAACTATAGACCAGTTGCAGTTGGAAAATTTATGGAATTGATAATTGCCGAGGCAATTCATAGCCATCTTGATAGGCATAAATTGAAAAATGAATCTCAACACGGTTTTACTAAGGGGCGTTCCTGTCTTACGAATTTACTAACTTTTTTCGCTAAGGTGTTTAAGGAGGTAGATCATGGTAATAAATATGATATTGTGTATATGGAATTCAGTAAGGCTTTCGATAGAGTTCCACATCAGAAACTTTTGAGGAAACTTAAGGCACATGGAATAGGAGAAGAAATTTTTTCCTGGGTAGAGGCGTGGTTGACAAATAGGCAGCAAAATTTGCATAAATGGGGAGAAATCAGAATGGGGGCACGTCACAAGCATGTTCCACAGGGGTCAGTGTTGGGCCCCTTGTTGTTAACAATTTACAGAAACGATATAGATGAGGGAATAAATAGCGACATAAGCAAATTTGCTGATGACACCAAAATAGGCCATCCAATTCATTCTATTGAGGACTTTAGTGCACTCCAGGATGATTTGAATAGACTGATGCAGTGGTTGGAGAAGTGGCAGATGCAGTTTAACCCTTAAACAATCCAAACATATATATACGTTCTCTCGCGTAGCGTCCCAAATTTTTTCGAGAAAAAATAATTTTTTTTGTAATCGGAAAAAAGAGCATATGGTACCCAGGTGTCCACAATTTTTTTCATATGGCACACATTGAGTGAGTACACCCATTCTCTCATGTCTAGGTAACTCAGGCTTATGCCAATGTTGAATGAATGACAAAGGAAATGTATACTATATTCGTTTGGGACGCTACGCGAGAGAATGTATATATACGTTTGGACCATTTAAGGGTTAATATAGACAAATGCAAAGTGCTAAATATTGGACAGGACAATAACCATGCCACTTATTAACTGAATAGTGTAGATCTTAATACTATTGACTGCAAAAAGGATTTAGGAGTTCTGGTTAGCAGTAATCTGAAACCAAGACAACAGTGCATAAGTGTTCGCAATAAAGCTAACAGAATCCTTGGCTTCATATCAAGAAGTATAAATAATAGAAGTCCTTCGGTTGTTCTTCAACTCTATATATCCTTGGTTAGGCCTCATTTAGATTATGCTGCACAGTTCTGGTCACCATATTACAAATGGATATAAATGTACTGGAAAATGTACAGAGGAGAATGACAAAGTTGATCCAATGTATCAGAAATCTTCCCTGTGAGGATAGACTGAGGGCCCTGAATCTGCACTCTAGAAAGACGTAGAATTAGGGGGGATATGATCGAGGTGTATAAATGGAAAACAGGAATAAATAAAGGGGATGTAAATAGCATGCTGAAAATATTCAGCCAAGACAGGACTCATAGCAATGGTTTCAAGTTGGAAAAGTTCAGATTCAGGAAGGACATAGGAAAGCACTGGTTTGGTAAGAGTTGTCGATGAGTGGAACAAACTCCCGAGTACTGTCATAGAAGCTAAGACCTTGGGTAGTTTTAAAAATAGGTTGGATAAATACATGAGTGGGTGTGGGTGGGTGTGAGTTGGACCTGACTAGCTTGTGCTATTAGGTCAGTTTAAGTGGAAGTGAACTGTGTAGATGGTCATTGTTCTAGGCCGGGGGGTGGCATGAACCTGCTTCGCATGGGTCAGTAGGCCTGTTGCAGTGTTCCTTCTTTATGTTATTATTATAAATTCATGATTTAAAACAAGGCTAACCCAGGATGAAGATATCGCTCAAATGGCCCACTGCTAACCTATATATGGTATCCTCGACTTAATAATATCAAAGTTGCAAGACCCCTCAAGGAAGGTTCCGTGACACTGGGGAGGGGCTCTTGATCTAGGAACTTGGATCTGTGCTCCAGTTCCCTGAATCAAGCCTGAATACCTTCCATTCCCCCCCCCCACATGTGCTGTATAATCCTATGGGTTTAGAGCTCCCCCATGATTATAATAAAGTTGCAAAAGGGAAGGGTAAAAGAATGGCCCATTTTAAATAAATCGCTCTTGAAGGTGCCTGGTGAGGTGCTCTTGATCCAAGGAACTGAACTTATCCTTTCCCTCCTGGGATCAAACCTTGTGCCTCATCCCTCTCTCCCCCATCTTATCTAAAGGGAGGTCCTCTCATTTTTCTTAATCCTCCCTATCTGATACTGGTGAGGGGTTCTTTACCAAGGGAAGTGGACCTGTCGTCCCTATACTTGTACTTGGATCAAACCTGATTACGTTTCATTCCTAAGGAGTTTGATTCTTATGGGTTTAGTATTTTCCTGTGATTATAATAATAAGCCTCTTATTTCCCTACATGTTGGGTGCTTCCCCGATTATACTGCGTAATTTGTATTACTGGTACATAATTAGTACGTAATACAGCACCCTCAAGGGAGATTCCCAAATGCTGGTGACAGGCTCTGGTCAAGGAATTTAACCTGATCTTTCTTTTTGTTGATGAAACCTGATGGCCTTCCATAACCCCCAGGAGCTGTAAGATCTCTACAGGTACTATATATTGCTTCCCATGAGTGTAATAAGTTAGCTAGTCTTGGAGGTGGGAAGGGCAGAACCTGGACTCTGGAAAGGTAAGGATATGGGATATTGCAGAGGGTAATCTGAGTCAGCAAATTTCTGGAAAGATGATGACTTGAGTCAGTGATGGTGAATGGGTTTTCTTTGGTTCACTCTGCCTTGGCAGGAGATGGCCATTAAGTAAAATAATAATGCTGTACTGTAATAATATAGTACGTACTGGAAAAAAGTGTACCTTCATGATGCAAGGGGGAAATGAAAGGAGCATTTTTATCTTGTGCAAGGGGCGTGGATATACAGCAGGTACGTGTGAGCGTGTTAGATAGGACCGAGTGAAGACGAATGGTTTTTGGGACTTGACGAGCTGTTTGGAGTGTGGGCAGGGTAATATTTTGTGAAGGGATTCAGGGAAACCGGTTAACCAGACTTGAGTCCTGGAGGTGGAAGTAGTGCCTGTACTTTAGAGTGGTATGGGATATTTGCTGTTTGAGTGACATCTAAACAGTGTATCTGCACACCTCTGCAAAGACACTGATAATGTGAATGATGGTGAAAGTTTTTTTTGGGTCACCCTGCATCAGTGGGACAGCCAGTGTTTTAAAAAAAATATCTGGGAATGGCAAAGTCCATCAGCATCAAGGTGCACTTGTGAGGAAAATGGGAAAATTTCTGATATGGGTTTACATAGTTTGATCCACTCAGAATAACTTTTGATTATTTGACCGAGGTCTTTTGCTAACTTACCAGTCTACTCCTAAAGATTTCAATATCACATAAGGTATCTTGGTAAGTTTTCCAACTTGCTTTGAAGCAAAGGATTATACAGAAGTGTCCCAGAATTAGTAATAAATAATGCAGGATCAACTTTCAGTAAACTACATTATAAGGCATTTTGTTTTATTGTTTTTAGTACATTTAAAGACATCCTGTTCCAAAACATTACAGTATTACATGTATATAAATGAAAAATTATGAATAAATAATGGTATTAACATTTATGGGTTAAATTTTTATGCAAAATAAAATATGATAAAGAACTCTATGCATAGTAATTAAGATTAGCTTTCTTCTTGGCTTGAACTTCCATGATGGCATCCATAAAATCTTCGTGTGTCACTGTAGTTGCTTGACGACGCAATGCTATCATACCCTGAAATATATAAAAGTAATTTTATACACATTTTACATTATCATTGGTCTGTTTACTTACCAACACAATCCTAAACAATATGAAACTGAAAGACCCATTTCAGAAACAATCATTATTATCATTCAACATTTCATATTATCTACTTTTTTTAAGTATAATAATAAGAGTGACATATGTGATAAGAGCAAATTGACTCCTTTCCTTTAAAATTCACTGAAAGTGAGAGCAAAGTGACCCACCTCTAAATTCACTGAAAGTATGTCCATTTCAGTTATACACTCATATTTTTCTATCATCCTTTTCTTTATTTTTATTATCACACTGGCCGATTCCCACCAAGGCAGGGTGGCCCGAAAAAGAAAAACTTTCACCATCATTCACTCCATCACTGTCTTGCCAGAAGGGTGCTTTACACTACAGTTTTTAAACTGCAACATTAACACCCCTCCAGAGTGCAGGCACTGTACTTCCCATCTCCAGGACTCAAGTCCGGCCTGCTGGTTTCCCTGAACCCCTTCATAAATGTTACTTTGCTCACACTCCAACAGCACGTCAAGTATTAAAAACCATTTGTCTCCATTCACTCCTATCAAACACGCTCACGCATGCCTGCTGGAAGTCCAAGCCCCTCGCACACAAAACCTCCTTTACCCCCTCCCTCCAACCTTTCCTAGGCCGACCCCTACCCTGCCTTCCTTCCACTACAGACTGATCCACTCTTGAAGTCATTCTGTTTCGCTCCATTCTCTCTACATGTCTGAACCACCTCAACAATCCTTCCTCAGCCCTCTGGACAACAGTTTTGGTAATCCCGCACCTCCTCCTAACTTCCAAACTACGAATTCTCTGCATTATATTCACACCACACATTGCCCTCAGACATGACATCTCCACTGCCTCCAGCCTTCTCCTCGCTGCAACATTCATCACCCATGCTTCACACCCATATAAGAGCGTTGGTAAAACTATACTCTCATACATTCCCCACTTTGCCTCCAAGGACAAAGTTCTTTGTCTCCACAGACTCCTAAGTGCACCACTCACCCTTTTCCCCTCATCAATTCTATGATTCACCTCATCTTTCATAGACCCATCCGCTGACACGTCCACTCCCAAATATCTGAATACATTCACCTCCTCCATACTCTCTCCCTCCAATCTGATATCCAATCTTTCATCACCTAATCTTTTTGTTATCCTCATAACCTTACTCTTTCCTGTATTCACCTTTAATTTTCTTCTTTTGCACACCCTACCAAATTCATCCACCAATCTCTGCAACTTCTCTTCAGAATCTCCCAAGAGCACAGTGTCATCAGTAAAGAGCAACTGTGACAATTCCCACTTTATGTGTGATTCTTTATCTTTTAACTCCACGCCTCTTGCCAAGGACCCTCGCATTTACTTCTCTTACAACCCCATCTATAAATATATTAAACAACCACGGTGACATCACACATCCTTGTCAAAGGGCTACTTTTACTGGGAAATAATTTCCCTCTTTCCTACATACTCTAACTTGAGCCTCACTATCCTCGTAAAAACTCTTCAATGCTTTCAGTAACCTACCTCCTACACCATACACCTGCAACATCTGCCACATTGCCCCCCTATCCACCCTGTCATACGCCTTTTCCAAATCCATAAATGCCACAAAGACCTCTTTAGCCTTATCTAAATACTGTTCACTTATATATTTCACTGTAAACACCTGGTCCACACACCCCCCTACCTTTCCTAAAGCCTCCTTGTTTATCTTCTATCCTATTCTCCGTCTTACTCTTAATTCTTTCAATAATAACTCTACCATACACTTTACCAGGTATTACTCAACAGACTTATCCCCCTATAATTTTTGCACTCTCTTTTGTCCCCTTTACCTTTATACAAGGAACTATGCATGCTCTCTGCCAATCCCTAGGTACCTTACCCTTTCCATACATTTATTAAATAATTGCAAACCCAAACCCCTCCAAAACTATATCCCACACTGCTTTTAACATTTCTATCTTTATCCCATCAATCCCCGGCTGCCTTACCCCCTTTCATTTTACCTACTGCCTCACGAACTTCCCCCACACTCACAACTGGCCTCTTCCTCACTCCTACAAGATGTTATTCCTCCTTGCCCTATACACGAAATCACAGCTTCCCTATCTTCATCAACATTTAACAATTCCTCAAAATATTCCCTCCATCTTCCCAATACCTCTAACTCTCCATTTAATAACTCTCCTCTCCTATTTTTAACTGACAAATCCGTTTGTTCTCTAGGCTTCCTTAACTTGTTAATCTCACTCCAAAACTTTTTCTTATTTTCAACAAAATTTGTTGATAACATCTCATGCACTCTCTCATTTGCTCTCTTTTTACATTGCTTCACCACTCTCTTAACCCCTCTCTTTTTCTCCATATACTGTTCCCTCCTTGCATCACTTCTACTTTGTAAAACAAACTTCTCATATGCTAACTTTTTCTCCCTTACTACTCTCTTTACATCATCATTCCACCAATCGCTCCTCTTCCCTCCCGCACCCACTTTCCTGTAACCACAAACTTCTGCTGAACACTCTAACACTACATTTTTAAACCTACCCCATACCTCATCGACCCCATTGCCTATGCTCTCATTAGCCCATCTATCCTCCAATAACTGTTTATATCTTACCCTAACTGCCTCCTCTTTTAGTTTATAAACCTTCACCTCTCTCTTCCCTGATGCTTCTATTCTCCTTGTATCCCATCTACCTTTTACTCTCAGTGTAGCTACAACTAGAAAGTGATCTGATATATCTGTGGCCCCTCTATAAACATGTACATCCTGAAGTCTACTCAACAGTCTTTTATCTACCAACACATACCTCTTCAAGGGGGGCTCCTTGGCGTGGTGAAGAGGCTCTTTGTCTGAGGAATTAGACCTGTCGGTCTACTTCCTCAGACCGAACCTAATTACCCCCCAATCCCCCGTTCCCTATCCCATCCTCCCCTTTTTCCTTTCCTCCTCCTCCTCCCCACCCCTTCCTTTTTGGCCTTTGGTTTTTTTTTTTTTCCACAGGCACGCTAGTTCCTAGGTAGGGGGAAAGGGTACCTGGGTACATCCCATTCCGTTGAGGTTCTTGGCGGTGGCGTAGTTTGCCGTGGAATCTGGAATTTCCCTGGGGTTTTCCTGATCCCTCTCCGGTATCCCGGAGGGTGGCTTTGGGTGTCTCTCGGGCGACGGGTTTTATCTCTGGAAGCCACCTTTCGGATTCCGGGGGTGGTGGCCGAAGGAGGTATGCTTTGTGGCGGATTTCCGGCCGCCCTCTTTTTTGTCCACCGAGGTAGCTCGGCAGAGGGTGAGGTTGCTATCCCGGGGATTCCCGGTTTACTGGCATGATGGGTAGGGTAGGCACGGGTTCCATGCTGCATCTGCGCTACTTGCGGTGCTGAGGCCCTCTTGGGCGCGGAGGGAGTTTTTTCTGGCCCTTTCATTCTCCTAGGAACTATCCCCCCCCGGCCCCCCCTTTTTTTTTTTTCTTTTTTTTATTTTTTCTTTTCTTTTCTTCTTTCTTTTTTTTCTTTTAAAACAAAAAAGAAAGAAGTAACCTAGCCATGGCAGCCCTAGTCCATGAACCTGCAAACCCCGGGCCCCTTCTTGATACCGCACCCCGTTCTGACCCCGCCTCGTCTTTTGGCCCCACTCTTCGGACACTCCTCATGCCTCTGTACCTCTTCCCGGTGCTGTTTTCCTCACCCGCTTTAGGTACTGAGGCCTCGATTTGACTCCTTCGATTTATCTGACCTTTGCTCTCCTCTGACTATGTTTTCCGGCCCTCTCCCTCTACGGTGCGGCAATTTTCGAATCGCCGGCCGTTCCACGTCGGACCAACTCTGGTTCCAGGCCTAAACACCAACGACAATTACCTGCTGATGATACTTCTCCACCTTCTCGTTCTTCTCAGAAAAGATCGACACGTTCTTCACTACCTTTCCACGCTCAGTTTCAGACTGCACAATAAACTAATTCTTCGCTTTACGACCGGAACTTCCTCTACTGCCTATCTTTCTGACCACAGTATTGGCAAGGCACTCCTACGCCATGTTGGTAAAGATATTTCTTTTCATGCTCTTAAGAGCGGTACGCGCATCTCCCCGTACAGAATGCAAACCAGGCTCTGAGTTTTTCTCGTCTTTCCCATATTGATACTGTTCCCTGTCAAAATTGAAAAGCATATTCCCTCATATTCTTGTTGGGTACCGTCATTCTGCCCATACCATAGTTCAACAAAATTTCCGGGACATGTGGCACTGACATTCTTGAACAGCTGGAAAACTCCAAGATCTCCCAATCCTCAAGGTAGACACTTACGTTTTTCCCTGCCCGGGGGGGAAAGACAATCCCCTAGCAATGTGGCTCGTTTAACTTTTGACAGCCATGAACTCCCATCCTCAGTTTATGTAAGCGGGGACATCGGTTACAGTTCGAAGGTGATCCCTACACCGAACAGTGTAGAAATTGCTGGCGATTTGGCCATCCAGCGAAATTTATTGCAGATCTATCGCCGAATGCCAGTCTGTGGTGCCGAATGACCATTCTAATACGTCTTGCAATCGACTTCCCTCTTGCCTTAATTGTCATGAGGCTCACCCTTCGTACTCTCGCCGTTGTCAAGTCTACTTAAACGAGCGGGAAATCCGTTACCTCAAAGAGGCAGAAGGTCTCCCTTATGCCATAGCAGTTTCTCATCTCCCCCTAAAGGGGGAGACTACCTCGTGTTTCTTTTTCCCCGTGTTTCAAAACTCCCCCCAACTTCTGGTATCCCATCTTCTACACCCACCTCTGTGGTTACCTCTCCCATAGTCACTCCTGTAGCTAATTCTTTTGCTGTCCTCGGCTCAGATGTCCCTACTTCAACGTCTCAGTCTGATCTCGCTTCTTCGTGTTCTCTCTCACAAGCCTCAGCAGCGACGAGATCTCGTATGACACCTCCTCCCAATCATCCCTCTACTTCTCAAAAGTC